ACAGCTCAGATATATGACCCTAAACCAGTTACTCCCCCCAGTCCCAAGCTGCCCAGCTGCAAGTGGTGCAAAACCGGCGTTTACTTTCCACTACAAAATTCCTTCAAGTCCACAGGAAAAAAAGAAAAAACACACCAAAAAACCCTCCAAAAACCCTTGTACAAATCTGAAAGTTTTTTCTTTCTGAATGTTTCAGACAAAGCACAGTTTTCAGTGTTTCTTTCAGTAGAGGTTATGTGTGGAACCAAAGAGGATGCTGAACATCACTTTGATAATTTATTTGTCCTGAATAAACATGGGTGTTTTCAGTAAAGTGCTATAAGGTAGCTTCTCTTTCAAGTTCATCATTCTTTAAATTTCATTCCTAAGTAGTTCCACATTAGCTATCACCTCAGCAATCAACTGGCAGCTGAAACCATTAACCAAAAAATCAAGGTGTTTTTCCAGCACAGTACCCAGCCCTCTTAGCAAAGAGTGGTCACCCCCAAGAGTTCTCCTCACTACCCTTACCAACCATTCCTCCGAAAGCACAAGAACAGCTCTTCCTTCTCGCTCCTGTGCTCTCATACAAGGGTCGAGCAGAGCTGGACAGCCCCAGCCCGCTGCCTCGCCTGTCGTGCCAAAGGCGGACACACAGTCTGGTAGTCTGCTGGGGCTGAAAGGCAGCAATCACAACCATCGTGGTACTGCAAGACTGGGGGCAGCTCTGGAGGAAGGAGCAGGGATATCCCCCCTAAAATTACTCCTCTTCCTACCTCATAAAGCTCTCACTCCAGACTGACAAGCAAACGGCTCTGCAAGACTTTTCCCTATTGCATTGAGGGGAGGAACGCTGTGGTATTAGGAACCAGGTCTGACTTACTAAGGCACAGTTTAGCCTTGGAAGCAAGAAGATCCCATCCATCGCTTTGTAACTAAAGCCACTCTGTAAGCAAGAGGGCTCCTTTGATCAAAGAAATGTCAGAAAAATCCTTCGGGAGGCAAGTTTCCTTGAGAGCCAGCTCTCTAATGGCTGCTTAAATGGGGACCTGCTTTTTAGAAAAGCCCTGCTGGTAAACTGGCCAAGGTGGGAAAGAGCAGCAAAAGCTTTCCAAATCAAACTGAAAAAACAACCAGGCAGTTCAGCATTAATTCACTCATTACACTGATAGTTGCTGTAGTGTATCACGATGACCTCTGCCTTTGCCTGTCACATACACCACTTCTGAAGAAAGCAGCAGCCAATCTATACAGAGTCAGCTCAGCTCCACTGAGATTTAATTAACTTGACCCTGCTACCCAGGCTTTGCATAAGCCCAGATAGAGCAGGAACTGCCCAAGAACAACTTTCAAACAAGAGTGCAATTATTCTCTGGAAGATACAGCACCAAGAAGCTTACTCCTAAAGTAAACAGCATGCTTGCTTTGTGACAGGTTAAAGAAACTTGTTGCCAGCATGTCACAGCATTTACTTCTGAAGGCTTTCTTTAATTAAGCCTCATTAGTTCCACCATCTGCAGCCTGCTCCTGCCAAGTGCCTATGCCAGGAAGAGCAGCTAGATGGCACCAACAGCCGGCTCATGGCTCAGCACTTTCACCTGGGTCTTTCCTGTCAGGCCAGCTCCCTTCCTCCTTACCAGAATTTCATCAGAGGAAAAGGAGGGCCATCTGATTGCCCAGACACCACAGGACCCTGGCAGTGCACTAACCCATGCAAGGATGCATGCAGATGCACCGTCCTCTGTGCCCCAAAGGGCATTTTTCTCATATTCCCTATACCGGGCACAAAGATTTTCGAGATCTAAGTTTCAAGACACAAAAACCAGGATGCTTTCACTGCTCTTCAAGAGAGCAGCGATGGCAGGTGATCTGTCACACAGCATTACATCACGGCAGAGGCTCAGAGTGCGAGCTCACCATACACTTAGGTCGCACATGCTAAGCCAGAAGGCATTCCAGGAAATATTCCTCGAGATACAAGGAAGCCTTCCTCCTCTTTAGGAGCTTAAAAACATCTAAGAAAGGCTCTCGCCCTCGCACGCTGCTTATACTGCAGCAGACATTCAAAGCTAGGTTAGCAGGGGGAAAATGGAATGGAAAGGGATCCAACACATTACCCAATTTCTGTGCATCTCAGAATACACCCAACGAAGAAAGGACAGTTAACTCCGTCCTTTAATGCTTTTTGTTAAGGCAAACAAAATACAGTTACTCAAACAAAATACAGGCAGTTATTCATGTTCACAGATTAACTCCTCCTGCCTGCTAGATGCAATCTTCTCTACTGAGAAAACTGTTCAGCTGCATTATATTACTAAACAGTTGCTACATCTCCTCACATAAGCAGCTGCTATTTTTTCTGAGAATCAAGTTAAGTACTATTTTAAACAGCACTCGAATACGATAAGATTCCAGTTTGGTGGCAATTCAGCTCTAGGTTTTTGTATTTCATTTCCTCACCCAGCAAGAAGCTGCCCTCTATTTCCCTTCCCTGCTGTCTCACCAAAATATACTTAAAATTCTCTATTCAGCCATCTTGATTACATTCCCCACTTTGCATCAAAGGAAGACAATTACAAGCCACTTCAAATAAAGCAGCAGCTGCTTGGGTTTAACTCTTAAATGCCTCTTCCAGAATGTCTGTCTCAGTCAGATGCACTACAGAATTACAGGAGAGTGTTTATTCCTACAGGAATCACTTTGCACTTTACTTGCAGAGAAGATACGAGTTAGGATAGCAGGGGAGAAACGAGGGGTAATCAGATCCTTTAAAAAAAGACCCAGTGATACTGGCTGTAGGCAAAACCTGGGCCTTCCCAGCATTGCACTGCAGACAGCGTAAGATAGGCACAGGAGCAAGAAACTTCCTCCTCCCTGTCTGCCCCTGCAAAAAAAAAAACAAAACCAAAAACCACAGTAGCTCTCCAGGGATCAGCATGCCAGCTCAGATCAAACCTCTTGCCAGAGGAAACAGGCTTGACTGCCTGCAAATTCAAAGCTTACTTCAGGCATCTTAGTATCAGAGGGAAGTAGGAGTAATTTGTTTTGAGTAGTTTATACACCAGGTTACTCCATTTAGATTCATTGTCTTTAGGCAGAGGAAAAAAAAAAAAAGTACGTCTTCTCGGCTGCACTGCTTAATTACAATCAGAACAAGGAGCTGGACAAAAACTGTCGCAGAATGAGGCTTACACATTGCCTAGTACAACACCAAGGGGTCAACTAGAACCGACGTCCTGGCCTCGCAGTTTCCTCCATGGCCACAGCAAGGTGGCTTAGGACTGTGTTCTGTGCGAGCCCCAAAATTGCACTAGTTTGTTTGCGAGATGCACAACGATAAAGAAGTGGTAAGACAAGCTGAAGCAAAGAAAAAGAAGCAAGCCTTTCCAAAATGATACTCATAAAATTAAGGCCGTATAACCCAAAAGCCAGCACAGGCTACTTGGTAAAAACGTACAACTCTTTAAAAGTTAAACATAGTAACTGTTGGGCTTTTTTAAACACAGAGAGAAGGCTCAGGGAAATCAAAGTCCGGTACAGCAGTTATTCCGTTTGTTTTTTGACAAAGAAGCCCAGGAATCTGCCCATTTACTTTCAGCAGACAAGTTTTATAGATGCAGAAGCACAGCTGGAACAGCACTAATACGGCAGTGATCTGTGGCACAGGGAAAGAAAAGGAGGCACCACAAGGGACTCTGGTTCCTCCCCTCCCCTTTATTACACGTAAGCAGAAAACACAGTGGTTTTTCTCCTGTTTACTTACAAAGGAAAGGAATACAGAGCTTCAAGTCATTTCACATAATTCCATGTGCTAGCCGGCTACAGCACACCATCTCTGGCAGGAGCCTGCAGTCTTGGACAATGTGACAAAGAAGCCAGAGCCAACACAGCACCCTAGTGACACCTGTAATTTCTTCCCCGGTCCTCTGGGGCTAAAGCTAGGTTGCCAGTAATTTAACAGGACACGGGAACTCCAGCCCTAGTTGACCTCTCACCTAAGCTGCCATCCATATGGCTCGAGCAATGGGGCTTGGTACAGGAGGCAACATAGAAATGGTGACAGGAATATATTCCTAGTCAGGGAGAGGTGCAGAGAGAGGAGGACTGGTTATACATCAACAGGTAGCTAGTCACTCCCCTGCCACGCACAGGCTCTGTGTGCAGAAAGCCCAGTTAATGGCACATTCCCCTCCTGAAAGAATTAATTTATTCATGTTAGGTATCAGGCTTTCTGCTCTTCCATGTGCATACACATAATAAAAAAGTGACCTGCGAAAGATGACGATTTCAATTCTGATGGGTAAAGACAGCCTCTAAAAAACATCTTCAGTTGCTGTGCTAGGGTTTGGGGTGGTGGTTGTTTTTTTTTTTTTGCATTAGAAACAGGGTTTTATTTTGGTGCTTTCTGGTAACCCATAATCTCATTGAATTGCAACATCAAGACTGAAGGCAAAGTCAAGGCTGTTATATGAAACCGTCCTCTCAGAAAGGGAAAATGATGTATCCCTTCCCCTCCTACCCCAAGTCACTCGGTATGACAGCTCAAAGCAGATCACCCTGCAGCTCCCAAGAAGTTTTGCAAACAGGGAAGATACAAAAATAGCAAACAGCTCAAATTCCAAGTAAGAGCAAGCAGAAAATTGTATCATAGTGACTGCAAGCCTTCATCACAACAGGCAGCGTAAGAAACTCCTTCATTTAAAATCTTTTGCAGGTCTCCCTTTTAAGGCCTTAGTGTCATTACAGAAAGAGGAATTATTTTTGTCTTGTGCTTGCAATTGCTGCCCCCTAGAGCAGCATCAAAATCTCCTACAATTTAACAGTTACAGTGTCTAGTTGTCCACGACCGTGCAAAATACAGACAGGGAGGGATAGAACTATCAACAGGTGTTCAAGCTTGTTGCAGATAACTTATGTCAAGGACAGTACTTATGTGCCAAGTGTTTTAAACAACCACACAAACAGCCAAATGTTGAGCAACTGCAATACGCTGCAACTCAGATTCTCAACATCAGCCACAGCAAAGAAAACAAAACCAAGCATTGTTATGGACATAGAAGAGTTTATCTTCACTGGGCAGAATAGTGAATTGCATTCCCAGAAGGGAAGACTGGACGTCGCAGAGTGACTTGGGATAACAAGTCAAATTGAGACCAGTGCAGATGTTGGCACAGAGATGACAAACACCAGCTGGGGCCAGTTCCAGAGTGGATTGTCATGGCAGGAGATCCTGTTGCTGAGCAAAGTGATATCCATGAAGAACAGGGGAGCATTACCCCTCTCCCCAGAAGTTCTAGTCATTAGTTAAGGAACCTTAAGACAGTTTCTCAAACTGCAGCAACAGGATACTGTCGGGTCTTTAGAGATTCAGTCCCAGAGCTGTTTTGGGTTCAGAGGAAGCAGAGGGAGTCTTTTGTGCCAAATCTATAAAGAAAATTGCAAGAGAAAGACATCAGTTTTCATCAGTAAGAGGGACTAGATCAACCACGTCCATAACTAACAAACACAGTTTTGGAGCGCCTCAGTGCTTCAATATTCAATGGCATTCTCTTGGAAACCCATGCTTCGTGTTTGATATGGGATGCTGAGCATTCTTCTGCTCTGAAACTTGAGAATAGGAAGAAAACTATATGGACGGTCCTGTGTAATTGTTCATTAACAGATTCCTGAAAGGAAAATTAAAGTCTATTTACCCCTGTCTAAGACAGATCTAGGGAAAACTCAGCATGCAGTTCAAGCCCATAAGCTCTGGTCACTCACTGTTACTCAATAAAGACTAGTTTAGTACCAGTTTAAGCAGACATCATACTTGTAACACATAAGACATAGTAAGCATTCTAGAACACAGAAGATGCTGCATGCTTGGCAGCAACAGGCATGAAAACGCTGGTCTACTTTATCACTGTTAACAGAACATACAAAAACACTGCCTGGCTTTGTACAGGCTTTGTTAAACAATGACAAAAAAAAAATAATTAGTCCAAGCTTTAGCTCCCTCATAGGGCCTTCAATTTTCCCTATACCCCATGGCAAAATCCAGGCAGAATTTCTAGCAAAGAGGGCAGTTCTCTCAAGACTGAGTCTGGTAGTGAAAGACAATGCCACTGAGCACCTGGCAGGGACACCAGGAGAGCTTCCTTTCAACCGTGTAACTAGAAGTGGGAAAGATTCTGGCTCAGACTTTAGTTCTGCTAGACTTCTTTCATTTTGAAGGCTATCACAGATCCTAATAGCAGCTAGCTAACACAACTTGCTAACATCCGTACCTCCATCAGAAACAGAGAGCTTTTCCAATTCAGCTTCAAGCTCAGCATCAGAAATGGGTGGATTCAGCACCTTCTGGGGAACAGGAGGCAGATCTACAGGCTCCTTAGTCGAGTCCTGGAGGAGACTGTCCAGCTCCTTCTCAAGTTCCTCAGTGTCCATCTCTGCTGATTAAAGAAAACATTCAGTTCCAAGCAGAATTAAGTAGCATCTTCGCAGCACAGACTGAAGTTCAAGTTTAACAGAGGTATTATTACTCCCATCCATCATTACTCATAATAACAAACTCCCTGTGCCGCTTCTAAAGGTGAAAATTCAGTCCTGATCTCAGGGAGAAGCTATTTCTTTAGATGCCTTTGTGCTAAGGCATCTAAGGGCAAGAAAACATTTCAGCAGAGACAAACAAGCTGCAGCAACACACAGGCCAGAGGAAAAAGATCATCACTTAAAAAACAAAGCAGCAGCCACTCTAAAAATAGATTTAAATCAACATTACACAACTCCGAACTGAAATCCACCAACACTTAGAGACTGCAAGGATTTGGAGATGCACAATTCCCCTGCAACCCACTGTCAGAGAAGAGAACTCCTTGTCAGTCCTCACTCCCTCTCAAGGCACCAGTAGCAACAGCCTTGGTATTTCAGTAAGTGCTTATCCTCCCAGGAAGGAGGACTAGAAATACATGGGGAGGGAGCAGGGAAGGGATGGCAGCAAAAAGGACCAGCAGTGGCAAGAGAAGATGAGCAAAGGACGAAAACCCCAAAACATACCTAGACCGTTGATCCCCACTCCAGCCAGAGTCTGGGCTACTTCATCTTGAGTATCACAAAGCTGAGGAGAAATACACAGCATTTGATATCGAGTATAAACTAATTTTATGTCTTACTGTAGTCACCTATGTCAAAAGTAGAAATAATAAAAAAACCCCAAACAAACACAATTCAAAAGTTGACTTAAAGGCAGCAGGTACAAGTGCAAAAGAGACTTCCAACATGACTGTGTTTTCACTAGCAAAAACAGTAACATGGAAGATTATTAAATAAAGTGCTACAAGACCAAGTAGCATGTTTGAGGATCAAACCTGAAACAGGATTTCATCATAAAAAAAACCAAAATCCCCCTAATTTTAGCTTTTTCACATAAGTAACAAGCTTATATTGCTGCTTAGGCTAACAAAATAAGGAAGCTAAAGACCAATACATCTCAGCTGTGATATTTTACAGATAGTCCCTCAGCTCACTTGTTGAAGTCACTGTTTAAGTACATGGAGCTGAAGTTGCTAAAAACGTAATCCTTTTCTGTTTTTTTTACACCAGCTTATGCAGCAGATTGCTCTCTTCATTTCAATTCATTCAGAATAAACTCGTCTCCTTTCCCTTACTGAATTGCAGAAGATTATGGGTTAGGCAGTTTTAAGTCCCTGTTTTTATGCACATAGTTGCAGTCCAGCTTTCAAAGGTATGACTTGTATTTCTTTTTAATACATTTCGCTAAACATTTTCTAGGAAAGTTGTGTGCCTGCACAGTATTGCTAACCAAAAGAACACATGAAATGCACAGATTTAACGTAAATTGTGATTACTAGCCAGCAATAAATGCAAATACATAAAACCAAACACAGCCAGTTATCTGAAGACCTCTGCTTGCTGATCTAAAAAGATCAAGATTAAGTCAGTTTGCTCTGGTGACATATGGAATAGAAACCAAACAGCGCCAGAAGCCTCAGCATTAATAGCTGGGCAAGCTTGCTGTGTACATCTACACACCACTGGCTTCTTTATTTAGATGTGCTCTTATTTCAGTACCTCTTGTATCTGATCCACCAGGTTCTCTGCCTTCTCCACAGTAACATCCTTCATAGACAGTTTCAGAGCTCCCACACCAGCCTGATAGGCATTAAATACCTTAAAAAAAAAAAAAAAAAAAAGGAGGGGGGGGGAGAGAGAGAGAGAGAGAGAGAGAGAGAGAGAGAGAGAAAGATGCACAATGCTAACCAAGAACAAACAACAGGCAGCGTAAGCTTCTCTCAAGACCTGTTATCCAAGCAGGACCATCAGAGAAACATTAGCACACAAGAAGAAAATGAAGCCACAGGCAGGTTAATTCAGAGCAATACCCCAACATCAGAGAATAAAGTCTCACCAGCCAGCTTACACCCCTCAGACACAAGCTCTGACAAGCAGGTAAAGCAACACAAATGAGAAGAGCGGGGCTAAAGTGAGAAGCACAAGACAAAATTAACACGTACCATCTGGTCAGTCTGGGAGGCATATATACGATCCAAGATCCCCTGCACTGCATCCAGCTTGGAATGAAGCTCTTCAATGCGCCTTTCTGTCCTTCGTTTGGATTTCAAACATCTCAGTGCCTGGAGACATTAAATACACAGACTTGGATCACAAATCAGGCAGTAGCCAAAGGAAGCGTAAAAAAATAGCAATCCCTGTACAGCAAGGCACACACACACCAGCTGGTTTTAAGAGCTAGATATTTCCATTTCTCTTCACCACATCACTCTGGACAAATCTCCACCTTAAGGAGACCTTTGACCTCAGAAACACCACTTCAACACATCCAAGTTCAAGTGTACAATGCCTAACCCTGGTCATTATCTGCAGTTATGGATCAGCTCCAAGACACTTGTAGTTCTTCCCAAGTAGAACAGTACTTACCAATTGCTTTTTCCCAGCTCTACAAGCACTCCGGGCATCCTCTTTACATCTGTACAGATGCAACAAGGAAAAGAAGCTTATTCCTTTGCAAGCAATAGTTATTTTACAAATCAGCAACCATCCTCACTACCTGATGTGACCGAGTAACAATGCATTTCAGATACAACCACTCTTAAGCCATTGTTGCTTCTCAGTAGTCCTTGAATGCATTCCAAATCTTTGCAAAAACTTTTGACATCCATTCACTGCATGTTGTTTTCATGGGGATAGGGAACAAAGACTGGAAAACCTGCCCTACCACATGACTGTGGCTACTATGTTTACTGAACAGGAAAGAATGACTTGCGCTTTCAGAAACCAGCTTTGTTCTAACTATATCACAGGAATACAAATTCTACAGCACACAGACGTTCTTCCCACCACCCTTCCCCAAATTACTTCTCTGCTTCCTGGGAAAGGGACTCCACCTTCTGTGACAGCAGCTGTTCGCTTTGCATCAACTGATATACTCCAATGTCCACATCATTCATTGGGGAGACTTTGGCATGAAGACCTCGGGCAAACTTCACTATCTAAAGAACGAGAACCACATGCTTGAGTCACTCGTCTCCAGAATCTGTGCCTGCACTAGAAATACCTTCACTCTGATGAAGGGAAAAGACACCCCCAGTTTAAGCCTTGCCATAGAGTGATGAGGACATACCAGTCATCACATAACCTAATATGAAACTAGACAGGCTCAGGTGACATCATTGTGAAAGCAGAAAGCCTTAAAGGAACACCCTGAAGATTTAAAGCCGTCCTGGTCCTCTGAATAGCATATGGCAATGTCACACTTCTAAGTACTTCAGTACTGAACTGTACAGTGCAGAACACTACAGGCAAAGATGCCATCTTAGAGACGAGAGCGCCTGCATCTCTGTAGTTACTGACAGACAGGAAAGCCTTTCCACAGAAAGTGGAACGCTGATTCTAGTGGCATGGAACGATTTCAATTTGGGTAACTGGGAACAGTCAACCTGCGAGTAGACAACTACAGTACTGCCAATTTGCTAGCTGTTAAACTACATAGGTAATATTACAAATGTTTGATGGAGGAAAATAAGAACCTGTCATGCAAGAATGAGGGTTTAATCTCTCATCTATAACCAGGTTACGATGTTGGAGTACATAGAATTCACTTTTCCAATCAAAGAACGCCCATATTTAGCCAATAAAGTATTCTTTCCAGCCAGATGAAATGCAAGACAGGGATTATACCACCCAAAAGCAGTCACCTTTACCCTGTACCTTCTCTCCATGCTGTTCCAGGATCGTGACCCTCTTTTCCTTTTGCAGCTGGAGCAGCAACAAGTAAAACGTCCTTTCATCTGGACAAACACTGGCACAGAGGGAACGCAGCTCTGAGAGGGCAACAACAGGGTGAGAAGAAAGCACAGAGTTCTGATATAGGCGATAAACTTCCTCTGCCTTCTCCTGAAAGGAAGCAACAGAGCTCTCTATTAGTTTACACAGGACTTTTACTTCTCTCCCAATAACTGCCGAGTCCACACCTGCTTCCTCCCACACACTGAGGGTAAAAAGTTAGACGCATCACGTTTTGGGTGAGACAGACTTTCCGAATGAGTTGTATGTAACATTCAAAAGCAATTACTATGCTTTAAAAAAAATCACCATTAATGAATGAAAAATAGTACAGTTTTCCACGAGAACCGAAACTACACTATTCACTCTCCGTGTGCAAATGCTACAGAACAACGCAAGAACCACACAGACAGCAAGTTGGTCTCCTCTGCACTTCTTGAAGTCTGCCCCCCACCCTAAGTTTAAACCAAACAAAACCTTTTCTTTAATCCACGCTGTGATTGTTCTCATCATTTGCATGTGGGCAGAGGAAAAAGAAATGTGTTCCCCATTTCAAGTGAGAGTTATGGTCCACTTAAGACTATAGAAACAACTCTTTCCATCCACCCGCAGATTCCACATCAAGGCTTACGGTTTTCCAGGCACCTTTTTAAAAGGTTTCTCTTCTCTCCCATGCACACACCCTCTGAAAGGGCTGTGGAATACCCACCACAGAGGGAAGACGCCATCTGCTATCAGAGAAACTACAAATAAAGGAACACATCTAAAGAGCTTTTGCATTTCTGCTAGTCCCAGTCATTTAGACACCACTTGCATGAAATAGCAGCAAGTCTTGGTGCTAATTTTAACAGTCACTGATTAACACAGAGAGGGACCCAAGGTCTCGACTGTCAGCACCGCACCATCCAAGTTAGACTGAGCAACAATGAGTAACGTGAATTCATAATGCAACCCATAGGTCTACCACTAACAATGTGCCAAAGAAAAGGGTCTTTGACAGGATCCAAGGGCAGTTCTAATCACATCTGAAAAGGCAAGCTGAAAGCGCACGCTCTGAAGTGAAAGCAGCCTTTAATAACGCACACCCGAGTTCAGCTCGATGATACACTGGACCTGGACTGACAGCCAGTGACTTCTACGTCACCCGTTTCTTCCTACAACGGATGGCATTCAATCTGCAAGTTTCGCTCGTATACTACACTTGCACAAACTCAAACCTGAGATTTACAGCAGTCTCACAGCACACTACTTGCCTTCCTAGACAAGCCAGCAAGCCTGCCCCTTCCATTTCTTGGAAGTCAGTGAAAAGTCATGATGTTAGTTTCAAGGAACATCTGTAGATATAAACTATTTCTTATTCCCAGCTTATTCCATCCACCTCTCTACAGGCTTTTATACACTTAAGGAGTACAACGAAGGTCTATCCAACCCTGATCTTTCCTTGCTAGCACATAAAATGACTCATAAGTTTTCTGGAGATGCATAATCTTGAGAAAGCGCTCAACAACACTCACCTGAAGCAGCTCAACATAAATCAGAACTTCCTCTTCCTCAGGTATTTTACTGTCACCCAGCACACTGGAGAGAGTCCACTTCAGGGGCTTCAGAATGAAGATTCCCACACCCCAGGAGATCCAGCTGCTGTCTACACTGGCCATGAAGTCTGACTCCCTCTGCAGCTTGCCACGTCTAGAGAAAAGACATGCATGCAGAACTGAATACGGTCAGTCCTAAACCCTTCCACTGGCAGCGAGCAAGAGTGCCAGCATGGAGAATTATTAACCGAAACATTGCTCTACGTTTTGTACATCCAAAATCCCACTGGTGTTCTCTAACACCAGTTTCTAACTAAAGTTCGACATGTTACCACTGCCTGTGAATGCGCACAGAGGTGTCTCCACTCTTCCTCAGCTTCCTCTGGACACAAGGGTCTTTTGTTTACTATTTTTCCAGTTTTGCAAGTTTCTCCCAGTTTTCTGACTTGAAACCAACGATCCATCAAACATGGAAATCAACGGGGAGGGTCAGTTTTTGGAGAAGGCAGTTGCACATGTCAAGGTGCTTCATTTGCGTGTTAAATTGCAAACATAGCTTTTTCTTAGATGTAGAGATTTTATTTTTTATGTTACAGACAGACTCAGCTAGCTCGCACTGTTCTTGAATCTTTTCAGGGAATCAGTCCCAGGCTCTTTTTTCACAACGCAAAACACTTGGTTGCAAATACCAGCGCACCACATCCCCACATGCCCGTACACCACCACATACCATTCGCAGCTGGGTCATCACAACAACAGTTTCAGGGAAACGTAACCCAGTTTAACACAAAGCTCCCCCTGCACCTACAGCTCTCCCAGCACAGTATTCCCTTGGGAATCCCCTGCACTCCCCGTGGCACACTGCCCTCCCACACCTCCTGTGAGCCCCAGGGTGAGCTCCTCTGACTCCCTATCCATGCTTTACCTTGCACAGGGCTCCCAAATTCCCCCCCGCGCACCACAACCCCATATTCCCTTGGGCCTCTCTGTGCTCTCCTCTCCTTTGCAAGCCCTGGCACAGCAACAAAACCCCCTCACGCTCTCCCACACTCCCAGCGCTTAGCGCAGGCAGGCACAACCACCCCTCCAAGAAGAGAGCCAAGCCTGCCTTCCTGTTCCCCCTCCATTTACCCAACACCCTGCCATGCACACAGCGGGCATCATCCAGGCTGGCACCACACGGAGCTCTCCTTGCCCGCATCCATGGCACAAAGCTCCCTTACACCCCCTCCCTCTGCAACCACCCCTCCTCAGGCCTCCCCTCCCTGCTAGCTGGGCCCCCCCCTCTCAGAGACC